GTAAACGTTGTTGTCTTCAGATGATGTCGTGTATAGACGCCCGTATTTACCAAAACTGGAACATTTGTACACACACACACACACACACACAAAATTCAAACTTCTTTTGAAAGTACTGAGATCGATCGCGGAATTGTAGCAAACTTTTCTTTTCTATTTATGAATAGCAAATTAAAATTTTTACATCTGCTAACATTTACAAATTAATACAGAATTTCAAAAGATCTAAAACTTTATAAATTATTGTAATTTATTATGAATTATTTATAACACAAATCATGAACATTAAAATTTAATTTAAATTAAAAAAATGAAAATAATTCATGTAATTAATTAATTATTCAGCGAAAAATATTTTCTTAAGACAACAGTATCCAAAATATTCATAAAAGCAATTAAAATCTTTTCTATATTTAATTAACGTCCTAATTTTATTGCATTTTTTATTTTACGATTTAGGACAGATTTTCTGTAACTGGGTCTGATGTTTGATAGAAGAAATTTGATGATTTATTTCTGCAAGTAATTGTTCTTATAATTAATATAAACATTAAGCGCTACAAAAAAGAATTTCTCCAAATGTCAAAAAATTATAGAAGTGAGAGGCAGTAGAAATATATATATATATATATATATATATATATCACCAAGAATTTCTAAAAAGAGAAACATTTCTAACATAATTTCATTTGTTTGCAAATAAGTTCTGAAAATTTAATTCAAAACCAACAATTATTTGATTTATTCAATGTGATTTCACCCCAATGAGGCTCATACATTTTTGTACTAATTTATGGTCGCACTTTTAAACAAATTTCGGAAGGTTTTAAAAAGATGTAAATAAAAATATTTTTACCATGTTTTTCTAAAAAAAAAACATTTCTGAAATAATTTAATTTATTTGTGAGTAATTCCTAAAACGTTTCATTAAAATCTGACAATTATTTGATTTTAGTAAGAATTTAAAAAAAAAGTATTTTTCATGGCAAGAACATGATAAAATTCCCTATATTAATCTTTCCCCACTCCACAGGCTGACCAAAAATCACAATATTTAACCAACATTTTGAACATTCTAAAAATATTCAAAAAATATAATTTAATAATAAAAACAAATCTTGTTATCTTTCCTCTGAATAATAATACAAAGATTTTGACGATTTCTTCATCATATATACTGATTTATAAAGAATATTTGGAGGTGCATATATATATATATATATATATATATATATATATATATATATAATTGTAAGTAATTGATGGATGTTTTAGATTAAAATTATCTTTTTTTACTATAATTTTTATAATCAATAGGTATATGCGTTTGAGTAGAAATCCCCGTTTTTGTTAAGTGAATTAATGTTAATATATATCAGGCTAGATATCGAAAGTTTTATTTTAATAAAAGTTAAAATGCGATATTATAGATTTAATGAGACCTTTATATCCTTCAACGTCAATTCAAATACGTTTATCAACTAAATAACTAATAAGACGTTTACAGCAATAAAATATATATATATATATATATATATATATATATATATATATATATATATATATATATATACATATATATATATATATATATATATATATATATATATATATATTTATTATATAGATTATAATAAAAACATGTTTTATAATTTCTTATAAAAATATAATAATAATATATTACTCTTCTTTGTAATGAGCACGTTTTAAAAAGTAAATGCTACGAACTGTGTATTTTTACTCCATCTGTTCTTTCCCCATTTGTATATATATATATATATTTTTTTTTTTAAATGACGTCCTGTAGATGGCGTCCTCGTGTACGAATGCATTCTTGAAATCTGCTGTTGAGATTCCTCATTGACTGCTGCAACATCTCAGCTGGGATACTGTGAATTTCATCTTGAATTCTAAATGGCGAAATGTTTACTTGTCTCGCAGTGTTGTCACTTGCTCATGTCTGGCAAAACGCACTTCAAAAATTCCTGTTTTGGGGGGCACCCCTATATATATATATATATATATATATATATATATATATATATATATATATATATATATATATGTTATGTGTGTTGTGTGCTTGTGAGTGATGAAGTACTGAAAGTTTCTTTCTTCAGGCTTGATCTTAAAATGTCTAACATCTATCACAATAGCTATTAGCGAAAATTATTTGCTTAATTTTCAAGGACCAATGGTCAAAATTTATTTCAGATCATTGGAAGCTTCACGCTTTGAAATCTTCTGGAAGAGAAAACTACACATTAAATTTATAAGGCGAATATTGGATAACAACTGTACATCATATTTGATTGTGAAGAATAGGTTGTTTCCTTTTTTGGGACAATGCACCCACTCACAGAATAGGTAAGTAGACTGATATCTTTGTTCTTCGTGTTTACTCACACACACACATATATATATATATATATGATATGATAAGGAACAAGTAGGAAACTGATCTCAATCTAATATTTTTCACTTTATTAAAGCTTCGTTAGGGATCAAGATAGAAAATTCTGATGAAGCTTTAATAAAGCGAAACATGTCAGATTGAGATGTGCTTCCTACTTATTGTTTATCCTATCATTCTGTCGAATTCCTATCCATACTTGATCAATATTTGATCTTCTACTCATCTCTCTCTCTCTCTCTCTCTCTCTATATATATATATATATATATATATATATATATATATATATATATAGGCGCGATGGGTAAATTGTCGCCTTTTTATATTTCCAATCTCGACCTGCAGAAAGTACAGAGGATTCGGAAAGAGATGGATGAGCGTAATGGCGATTACGAATGTACGGCAGCTAGGAAAATTCACTCTGATCGTTCTGATAGGAAAAGGACTCCTGGGTTTGTTCGTGAAGGCCTCAGGCCCAACATCAAGTAACTTGAGAACGTAGTGCTGACCTAAGTCAAGAGGGTGGCTGTTGTTATACCCTATATCTGATAACAGGACTCTGCACCATGCCACACAAGCGGCATGATGCAGAGTCCTGTTACCAGTTTTAGAATCCAGTCATGGCTGTTAGAAAATTTCTATGACAACATCACCCTTTACATCTGGCCACCTAACTCCCCAGATTGCAATCCCCTTGATTATTATGCGTTGAGCACAGTTGAGCGAGAGACTAAAAAAACTCTTTGTAACACTAAAGATGAACTGATAGCAAGGATTATGGCAGTCGTCTGGAGGCCGTTGTTGAAGTCAATAGAGATTTTATTCAATTTATTTACTCTTTAGTTTTTCAAGATATTTTTGTGTAATTTTAGTAAATAGATCTGTTAATATGTCAGTTTTATTTTCAATTTTTGTTTAATTTAGACAATTTATCCATCGCACCCTGTATATATTAATTTTTAAATGATTCTTCTTTAGGACGTAGGCAATTAAGATTCTCCACAGCTCCCTTTTCTTTATGATGCTTGAATTGCCATGAATTCTTGGGAACGATATTGGTTCTGTTCCCTTTTCTACGATTTTGAACTCAAAGATGCTTTCTACTATACTCGCTTCCACCCAAGGTTAGAAAGCCCAATCTAGCTTGTCATTTAAGCCATGTGTGGTTGTGATGGTAGAAGGCATTATATATTTATTCCTGTATTTTTGCAGGGGCATTTGTGTGAAAGACGATGAAACAAATTAGGCTGAAATTTGAATTCGGCTCGCTGTTTCAATTTTTTCCATTGCACAATCCGCGTACTCGCTGTTTTAAAGTTATCGTTATATAATACTTTCATATATCTTTAAAATATCGGGATGGTATTTCTTTGTAACTATCACCAGTGTGTTCTATATTGTAAGGCTTGTTTAGACAATGCTGTAAGGCTTATTTAGACAATCATGTAAGGCTTGATTAGACAATGCTATGAGGCAGGTTTACACAATGCTGTAAGGCTTGTTTAGACAAAGCTGTAAGGCTTGTTTAGACAAAGCTGTAAGGCTTGTTTAGACAATGCTGTAAGGTTTGTTTAGACAATGTTTTAAGGTTTGTTTAGACAACGCTGTAAGGATTGTTTAGACAATGTTTTAAGGTTTGTTTAGACAATGGTAGAAGGCTTGTTTAGAAAATGCTGTAAGGATTGCGTGTAAGGACAATTTTTAGCATAATGCATTCTTTTTATTTTTTAATTATTTTCTAACATGTTTGATGCCAAGAATAAAGTGTTTTTTTTATTATTATGAATTTAAGAATTGGTGGCGAGAGGAAGAAATTATTCATAGAAATGAAATGTTTCTTAATACTTTTTTTAGCTTTACCCCAATGCGCCTTCGCAATTTCCGATCCATGTTAAAAAAAATTCAAATTCAGTATTTAAATAGTTGTATTTGTTAGCTTTTGCTATTGCCAGTTTGTAATTTGCATGTTGGGTTGTCCATTTTGCTAACAACCAATCATCCTATTTTCTTGCAATCGATAAGAAATACTGATAAGAAATTCTCTTTATGCATTTCAATCAAATGAACTGCAAATAAACGAAACATTAACCGTATTCTAAAATAAGAACCCTATATATATTTTCGTCGTATTATCACTTTAAGTGAAAATTGATGTGAATATAATAATCAAAGACCGCCAGCTCTTTAGTTGGCTGCAGACAAGGAGCTGGAACACAAACCCAAATGGTTTTAATCGTCCTCTTGAAGATACGTTGATGCTTTGGATTAAATCTATACCTCATAGCTACCTTCAAAGAAGTTGATTGATTGATTTGTTATTTTACGGCTTATCAACCCTTCGTGGGTTAGTTAAAGGCGAAACATAGTTTGGAATGTAAAAACAGTTATTTGTTGCCTGTGAATATTGCATTAACAATATTTCTTTAGAATAACAATGGTTTTTCCATATACTAATCATACTATTTTACCCATAGATGGGACCGTCAAAATGAATAAATATCAAGGCATAGATATATGTTTACCAGCTTGAAAGAGTCCATTTAAAAAATTTAAACTATTAAAGGGAAAAGATTTTGCGGCATAATAATGTCTGCCCTCAAATTTGCGAAAATGGTGGTAATACAAACTTTATAATATATTGCCTCTTTCTTTTCTTTTCTGCAGATAACCATATTGTTCTATCTATCTATCTATCTATTTATCTATCTATCTATCTATCTATCTAAATTCTGTGATTTCACTTGATCGATATCTATCATTCAAATCAATCTTAATGCCACTTTTCGTTTAGATGTACATTAGTATCGTAATAAAACTCAGCATCGTATAAATGTATCTGTTCATGGCCTGTTAAACAAACGTAATTCCCTTCATCTATCTAAGATGAAAGTATACAAAATTAATTAATATTTTGAAGATAATATGAATAAAATCGAAATATTCACAAAATCAATTTAAAGAAAGGTCAGTTGAATATTGAATATATATATATGCGTGTGTATGTGTGTGTTTGAGTCTATGTAAAAAATTGTTCATTTATGCACATTTTGTATCTGTTCAACAGGGAAAAGTTTGTAAAAATAACAGAACACATTTGCTATAATGAAATTTAATTCTGAACGGATTTCACCTCATCTTCATTTCTTACTTTACTTACAAACTTATTAACTAACCATGTTGTAATATGAAGCGTATACGTGGGAAATTGAATGGAAAAAAAAACTAACGTTTGCTAAATTAAGTTTTGTTTTTATTTTCAATGGACATAAAAAAGAGACGCATGATCACTCACGCATATACATAGAAATATACGAGTATATATAAACGTTTCTATCTATCTATCTCACTGTTCATTATCTATCACGCTGTTCTTTATCTATCTATCATCCTGTTCATTATCTATCTATCATCCTGTTCATTATCTATCTATCTATCTAACTATCTAGCTGCCTATCACCCTGTTCATTATCTATCACACTGTTCATTATCTATCTATCTATCTATCTATCTATCTATCTATCTATCTATCACACTGTTCATTATCTATCATACTGTTCATTATCTATCTATCTATCTATCTATCTATCTATCTGTCACACTGTTCATTATCTATGTATCTATCTATCTGTCACACTGTTCATTATCTATGTATCTATCACACTGTTCATTATCTATCATACTGTTCATTATCTATCTATCTATCTATCTATCTATCTATCTATCTATCTATCTATCTATCTATCACACTTTTCAGTATCTATCTATCTATCTATCTATCTATCTATCTATCTATCTATCTCAGAATATTGTCCCTCTTAGTTAATCATCTCAAATCCCAGGGTCTTCTTTCAGTCAACCAATATGGATTTTGCAATCTCTACGTCAACTGCTGATGCATTAACGGTCATTGCTGAAAGTGTCTATCAATCAAAGTAAAGCTCGGCCTGTTGCTTTGGATATCACGAAGGCATTTGACAGCGTTTGGTATACTGCTCTTCTACACAAGTTGAAACGTATGGTATTTTGATCTGATTTAATCTTTCTTATCAGATCACGAAATGAAAGTTGTCTGGAACGACTACTCTTCTAGATCTCTTTGCATTAATTCAGGTCTACCCTACGGTTCTAATCTAAAACCTACGTTTTCCTAATTTTCATCAATGACCTTCCTGATGTAATCAGTTTAACTCAGTATCTATACTGATGACACAAATATTTACTCCTGCATTAAAGGTAAGTCTTATCGTTTCGACAAGGTCAAATTTATAGCTGAGCTGGAAAATTTGTAGTTGAGCTAAAGTCTGTTGTTAACTGGGGCGGAATGGCTTCTTAATTTTAAAGTCTCCAAAACAACCCCCTCTTGTGTAATCGTCTGAGAAAGATCTTTTTGCCTTCCATCGTCATTGCTGATGCTAACCTCCAGGAGAGGGACACCCTGTGCCCCCTCGGGTTAACGTTTCTCATTGATATGTAGTGGAAAGATTATATTGAATCAGTTGGTAGGTCTGCTGCCAGGAAAGTTTTTTCACTGTGTCGTATTAGACAATCTTACACATTTATAAGTCTACGATTCGTCCATGCATTGAATATTGCTGTTACATATGGCCTGGTGCTTCTGCTATGTATTTAGAGATTTATGATAAAGTACATAGAAAAATATGCAACGTTATTGATCCTGATCTGGCATCTCGGCTTCAGTCTCATTCCTACAACCGTAACATAGCTTCCTCGTGCCTTTTCTATAGAGATTTTTATGGTAAATGTTCTGATGAGCTTTCCTCTTTACTACCTAGGCTTTATGAATTCAACCCGTACTACTAGATTGTCAGCAAGGTTTCATCATCTTACAGTCGAAATGGCTAGATTTAACCGTAAGTTCTATGCTAACAGTTTCTTCTCTCGCACTTCTCGCTTGTGGGACTCTCTTCTGGTTTCTTACTTTCACGCCACCCTTGATCATCTAACAGAATAAGTGTAATATAAACGCATAATCTAATGATTTTACTATAGTAAAGCATTGGAAATGAAATTCTATTGTAAATATACATTAAAATACAGGACAATAGTAATTCTTAGTGTGCTTAGCAATAAATGCAAATATTATTAGCATAATACACCCATGGCGACTTTGTACCGACCGCATTTGAATTTGGTATAAATATAGGCAAATAGTAAATAATTGCTGAAAATATGTTAATTTGTAAAAATTATTAGGTAGTTAAAAACTAATAAAAAAAAGTATGCGTTCACTTAAATTTCGTAAATTTATGTCAATTCTGGTCATCCATACGAGGTGTCATCACCTCGGAACTTATCGATATGTCAATAAAGATCAAAGGAAAATAGGAACCGTAGTTAAGAAATGCTTGTATATTACTATTTGATGTTATAAGTAAGTAATATTTATTTAAAATCAGATTAATTTAATTTCACATTTTCTAATTTTACTCAAATAACGTGTCAGAAATATATATTTTATTTTTGGAAGATCTTTAAAACCGATATTTTTTTTTTACAAATTTCTTAATAATAAGAAAATGGCTGAGCAAATATTTGACAATCGAATCTATATCATTTCTATTTGAAATACATCAGAATATTTTACTTACTGAAAATAACAAATTTAATCATTTAGCTTTCAATTAAAATTAAAATGAAGCTTTCAAGAATGCTTTTTCATTTTTAAAAATTCATTTTAAACGTTAGATATCGAAAATTGAGTGAACATACCTCATAGGCAAATTTATTGCCATCAGTAATACTCTCCCATAAACTCATTTAGAATTATTTTCTGTACAAAAAAAAAAAACAGAAAAAAAAGAAGATATTTCTTGCTGCGGCAAAAAACTCTTGATTATACCCTAAATTTTACTGTTAATTTTAAAAACTAAAAAAAACAAAATTATAAAATTTGATTTTAGCTAGGATAACTCCCCAATCCGTAAGTTGAGTTTTGAAAATTAGGAAAAACTTATTCTTCATAGTAAAGAATTAACCCAGACGTTACTAATAGAATAACTGTAATATAAATGCATAATCTAATGATTTTACTATAGTAAAGCACTGTAAATTGTAAATATGCATTGAAATACAGGAAAATATCAGGTCATCCCATAGGTTCTGTCTGAATTTTAACTTTTTGTTAAAATGAACGAAATTTAAAGAGTATTTTATAATGTCTAATGGAGCTGAACATTATTTTTATGTTTAGATGCATTTAAACTGATCAAATTTTATTTCAGAGAACAATAAAATTAAATTTTGTTTGATTAAAACCCTGATAACATGGACGTACCAAGAATCATTTGAGGCACATAATGCTTTAGGAGTTCAAGAAAGGAAACTCAGCAGCCGAAGCGGCTAGAAACATTCACTCAGTTTATGGAGGGGAATGTGTGAATGAAAGAACTTGCAGAAGATGGTTTGCAAAATTCAGAGGTGGAGATTTCACCATTGAAGATGAAGATCGAACCGGACGTCCAGTTGAGTTTGATGAAAAGCTTCTTGAAGCAGCCCTTGAAGAAAATCCTGCATTATCAGTTGAGGAATTGGCAGTGGTTCTCAGTTCAAACCATACAACTGTTCATCGTCATCTTCAACAACTTGGAAAAGTTCCTAAACTTGGAAAATGGATGCCTCATGAATTGTCTGAAAACAACCTCAAATCCAGAGTTGACATCTGCTCTTCTCTCCATTCTCGCCAACTTGTTTCACCTTTTTTGGACTGGCGACGAAAAATGGATCTTTTTATCGAAATATTAAGCGTCGTAGACAGTGGCTTGGTAAAGGGGAAGGACCCCAGCCACAGCCGAGAAGGGAACTTCATGGGCAAAAGGTTCTTATTTCAATCTGGTGGGATCGCCAAGGAATAATCCACTTTGAATTCTTACCACCTAATGCAACAATTAATGCTCAAATATACTGTCAGCAATTAGAGCGTTTGAACCAAGCTTTGAGGAAAAAAGACCTGCTCTAGGGAATCGAAAAGGGGTGATGTTTCATCAGGACAATGCGCGACCCCACACAGCAAGAATCACGTCACAAAAGATCGAAGAACTTAGTTGGGAGAAAATTCCTCATCCAACTTATTCTCCCAATCTTGCTCCTTCAGACTACCATTTGTTTCGTAGCTTACAGAATCATTTGGAAGAAACGGCTTTTGTAACACAAGAAGAGGTTAAAACTGACATTTGTGAGTTCTTCGAATCAAAGCCAACAGAATTTTACAATAATGGAATTAGTAAGCTTGTTAATAGATGGAAGGAAGTCATAGATAATCAGGGAAAATACATTGTTGATTGAATCTGTAATTAAATGTAACATTTGGTCACTTGTTTTCTTTATTCAAAATTCGGACAGAACTTATGGGATGACCTGATAGTAATTCCTAATGTGCCTAACAATAAATGCAAATATTATTAGCATGATACACCCATGACGCTATATATTTTGCTGGCTGTGAAAACTAAACTAAGTTAGTCTTTTAATATTTCATTTCTTAGATGAGTAATTCTCAATATTCTTGTATTATTTTAACGTATTTTTCTCGTCTTGGTTGATATAGATTTTATTATTAGTGACGTACCAACAGGGCCGAAGAATAACTAATAACACAGGGACAAAATATCAGAATAGTCAACAGATATCCCATATATCAACCAATCATTGGAAACCTGATGATGATCAGAGGTCACTTGTTCGAAACGTTATGTCTATGATGACACTTGAATCAAAATGGGAAAATAGTTCGAAATAATACAATAAATTACTCTTCTTGGCTCCAATCTATAAGAACGATCATTTATTTACAAGCATTACTACCATTAATTTTCAGAATAAATCATAAAATCTCATCTTGTTTTTTTTATCGGAAAATTTATCTTTTATGTTATGTCTTATCGGCAGGAAAAGTCTATTAATCATATTCCAGAGAATAAGTAAAAATTAAAATCTCCCGTTCCTCCCGTAAAAAAAAGAGGAGAATATGTTTATTTAAAATCAAAAACCAAAAAAAAAAAAAGGTGTACAGTACGACATTATAACTAAAAATATTAATTTTATGAAAGTACCAGATACAAAAATATATAAGTACTAGATACAAAGATATATAATGTTTAAAATATTAGATTTAGACCACGCTACCTTTAACTTTAGTGGCAGCAAATTTAACTAGGTATCCCCACTGACTTCCTAAAACCGGAAAGGAAAAAAAAAGCATTTTAAATAATTTAAATGTCTTCTTTGAAGTTGAACTTTGGTTTTCTTTGAAAGAAAATAGCCTACAGCTAATCCGTGAAAAAAGAAAATTAAATTTCCATAAGGTAAAGGGAAACAAACGAAAGTTTAAGTTTGTAGTGAAGCTTTATTCAATAAATTTGACTACTATCCACAAGTGAGGTTCGACCATTTCTTTTATAGTCATGTTGTTCGAATGGGAAATGACTATGGTTGTCTTCATCACACAAGTAAAATCTTCAGAAATTTTTAAATATTGGTTTGGTCACTCATCATTCATTGACTCTCCGAACTTCAATTATACACGAAAAATGAAAATAAAATTAAAAAAAAAATCCTTTAAGAAGAAATTTGTTTGTCATAAAGGTGTGCTTCAAAGTAAGTTAGAAAATTAATTGATTACTTTACTGGATTTTGCAAAAGTAATTCTGTTTAATTTTAAGTTTATATTATACAGTGTAACCCGGATATAAGAGACCCGGATATAAGAGAAACCCGGATATAAGAGAGATTTTCTCTGGTCCCAAAGTGTTCCCATACTTACCTAAACAAAATAGACCAAACCCGGATATAAGAGAAATCCGTATA